GGATCCCCTTGCCTGATTCCTCTGTGTGCACTGAAAAAGCCTTCAGGAGACCCATTGACGAGTACTGAAAACTTAACAGTTGAAATACAAAACTTGATCCAACTGATCCATCTGCTACCAAATCCAATTTGTCTCAGCATACTTAGAATGAAATCCCAATTCACATGGTCATATGCTTTCTCAATATCAAGTTTGCATAGTATACCAGGTTTCTTCTGGGACACTCTAGAATCAATTGCTTCATTAGCTATAAGCACTGCATCCATTATCTGTCTGCCTCTGATAAAAGCCATCTGTTGTTTGTCTACCAACTTATCCACAACTCTCTTCAACCTTTCGGTCAAAACCTTGGACATTAGCTTATAGAAGCTTCCAATTAAGCTGATAGGTCTGAAGTCCTTAAGTTCCTTTGCTCCTATCTTTTTAGGAATCAGTGCTATGTAGGTTGCATTATAGCTCTTTTCAAACATCCCAGTTGAGTGGAAATTGTGAAAAGCCCCCATAATGTCATGTTTAATGATCCCTCTTAATCAATTATTGACTGGTAGAAAAATTCGTAGCCAACATTTTTTTATTTGTTTTTCAGGAATTGATTACTTATCGGTTGCTGCATTTGATGATTTGCTTCCTGCCCATCATGTTTTCCTGAAAAGCAGGGTAAGTCGTCATATTCGGACTAAGTTGAACTTATATTTTGCCCCCTATGATTAGATTCACATCGCGGGAAAATTGGGGGTGTCGACTGAGGGGTGTCTGTGTGCTTGCAAATGTATAAATGAAGATTCTATGCTTTGCGCGGAATTCTGATTTTTTGAATTGTCTAATTTTTCTACTTTGGCTCGAGTTAATATTTCATAATTACATGAGAAAGGTGTTACATAATCTAGTTGCTCTTAGCAGTAAATGGGACTATTGATCCAACTCATTCTTTTTTAAGGTGGAAAGAAAAGAAAAGAAAAGAAAAAAAAACAAAAAACAGAAAGTGATTGCATATCATGGAGATAGAAAATTCCTGCTTTCCTATATTTTTCAAATTTAGATCAGATTCCCAACTTCTTATTTACCAGGAAACTTCTTTGGTGTTATTTAACCTTGGTCCAACTAAATACGGTGAAGGGCCGATAACAAAATGATTCACTGTAATATTTCCTAATGGGAAAAAGGATAAATATACCCCCGAACTATCGTAAATGGTATGCAGATACCCTCCGTCATACTTTTGGGACATTGGTGCCCTTGCCGTCCAAAAACTAGAGCATATATATCCTTTATACTAACGGACATACAGGTGTCACAATGTTATCCACCCATCCGACATTTATTAAATATCGGATCGACGGATAAGATTGCGCCACGTGTCCCTATTTAGGCTTCTGTTAGAGTGAAGGGCATATTTGCTCTAGTTTTTGGACAACAGGGGCACCAATGTCCCAAAAGTATGACGGAGGGTATCTGCATACCATTTACGATAGTTCAGGGGTATATTTGTCCTTTTTCCGTTTCCTAATTGCTACAAGCAGCATCTAACTCTAATCACCAGCAACTCAAAATTGATGCTAGTTGTAGCAATTATGGTGCTTTCAAAATCTTATGCGCTAGATGTTTTCTGCAAAGTGGGTTAGGTTATTGTGGGTCTGTTGATCTTCACTTGTACTACATTTGTAGAAGAAATCTGAATAGTCACGCAATAATGACAATTAACAATCATAGTTTCTTTACCTTGAAACTATACAATATTTGCATCTTAACCTTCTAAGTTATGGAGGGTTGTCAATTTTTAATGGTTAAGTGCATGGGCCTCCTCCACTTCCTTGGCTGAAGTTTTCCTTATGAAGAAAAAAAATATATGTCGAGAACTAGAGGAGGCGGTGGCAAATATTAACTTGTATGTCATTCCTGTTTATCCTTTTCATGTAATGGAACTCATAAAAGATGAAATCTGAGTTGGTAACCGAGTGGAGGTTAGTTGAACTTAAACATTGGAAATATGTCAACCTTTTGATGGTTGACCTATGACATGAAATCTGAGTTGGTAACCGAGTGGAGGTTAGTTGAACTTAAACATTGGAAATATGTCAACCTTTTGATGGTTGACCTATGACATGAAATCTGAGTTGGTAACCGAGTGGAGGTTAGTTGAACTTAAACATTGGAAATATGTCAACCTTTTGATGGTTGACCTATGACATGATCTTTGTTTTCTAGATTGTGAAAGCGAGAAAAAAAAAAGAAAAAGAAAATTATAGTCAAGTATTATCTCTGTTCTTTGTTTTAAGGAGACAATAGAATGTTTATACTTTAGTCACATTATTGACATTTACTTGTTAGCCAGTTAATAATCCTGCCAACATTATGGTATTTGAAATGTTCCAGGAGATTATTCTTGTAGAAGGGCTGAAGCTGGATGATATAGAAGCTGGCTTGTACACTGTACACTGTCTGCCCTTAAGGTTGCTTGGTGCGGAGGGATCACCTATTAGATGTATACTGATTAAGTAACACTCTCCTCGTATCTCCCTCAACCATAAGGTACTTTTAAACATGTTGCCTTGTATGTCTTATCTTTTTTGATAAATAACATGTTACCTTTTATGCTGTCTTGTTCAGTGTGAAAAACTTTCAATCTGATCTTGGTTATTGCATCTCCTCGCTATTAATTTCTTGGGTATACCATACTTGAATCCATTTGATCTGACGGCCCCATAATACATAGCATGAAATTTTATATCCTTTTCTTTTCTTCTTGGTTGTGTACTCTTCACTCTGTTTGCTTGGATAAATTGCTGCAGGAAGCACTGCACTGGAGATAGCGTTGAATAAGAAAAAGTGCTGCAAAGGGAACATATTCTCAGAGTAGTTTAGGCTGTAATTGTTATCAGCTGTTACGCTGAAAACGCGTTGCATGAGCAAATAATCTGCGGTTTTCATGTTATGTCTTATGGTTTTATGGATTGACAGTGTCATCAACATATTTAGATCCAAGTTATTTTTGTTTTAAGGTGATGATGTTTACTGTCGTCATTATATTGCTTTCGACAGGAGAGGAAAATTTCATGGGTGGTTCACTAATCCATTGAAAGTATATATTTGGTTAAATTTTTTGCTCCACAGGACTTGCTTATGGATTCACTTCCACACCTAAAAAAAAAATGAGATCCATTCAACCCATATACCCGACCCTAATAGCCCAAAGAATGTGTGGTTCTTTACGTACTATTGAAATTACGCAAACCACTCTATACCAGATTAATTGACAAGAAAAGGACCGACCCCACCAACATCACACTTAATTATTACTATAAGTTCTTCACAAGTTATTCCTTCTCATTGCTTCATATGTAGGGTTCACATACATGTATGAGTATTAGTTATGGATTTAAGTTATATATACTCACAATTTAAATGATTTTTATGCTTGTGGCAAGTCATTAATTTGCTATCATATTTTTCTAAATTTACAAATCACACTTTTTTATGAGTTATTATATAGAAGTTAAAGATGCGAAAAGTACTAGTTTCGCAACTTTACTATCAAGTGATGCCATACGTTCATACAAATATCGACAAACTAGTGAAGAAAATAGAGTTGACTTGATAAAAGAAGCATGTGCTACAAGATGACTTACCAAGAAACATGCAATTATACAAAAAAAAAAAAAAAAAACATTGACAGTATGACACGAAAGAATAAGCTTATTTTTCTCATCTTTTAGGAACTCAACCCCTATAAAAGGAGGTTGTTCTTTATGGAAATCCCACAACTCAAATATTACAACAACATACTTACTATAAGGTTCTCATATATTCATAAGGAAAATGGCTCGATCATATGTTGTGGGATTAATTGGGATTTTCTTGGTAATGGTTGTGGCAATAGTAGAGGCTACTCCCCCTGGAATAGCTGATCATCCAAGCCATTCTCATTGCTCTGACGATGAGATCAAACAGTGCAAAAATCTTCCACATGTTTGTCCCAAGTTCTGTCCCAATGGCTGCATAACTGAGTGTCGTTCTTGTAAGCCTATTTGCATTGATGGTCCATCACCATCACCTCCAACTCCAACACCCGATCACCCCCATCCACCAAAATCCCCAAAGAAGGTTAAGTGCAAGAGCAAGGACAAGAAACATAGCAAATGTTACAATCAAGAACATACATGCCCTAGCACTTGCCCTGGTACTTGTAAAGTTGATTGTGTCTCTTGCAAACCTGTTTGCAGTAAGTTCCTCATCCACCATATACTTTTTAATGAATTTATGTATAAGTGTATCTTTTTAGTAACTTGATAGTATTAAAAATTGCTCGATAAGGACATTTCAATACCAGTAAGAACTTGATTTTTATAGTCCCTATATATTGACTATAAGGACCATTTTTCTTAATAGTATATCCAATAACCAGCAAGTGTTTTAATTTATATGAACGTCTACGTAGGTTGTGACAAGCCAGGAGCAGTTTGCCAAGATCCACGTTTCATTGGTTCTGATGGAATTACATTCTACTTCCACGGCAAGAAGGACAAAGATTTTTGCCTAGTCTCAGACTCTAACCTCCACATCAATGGTCACTTCATAGGAAAACGAAACGAAAACATGAAGAGAGACTTCACTTGGGTTCAAGCCATTGGTATCATTTATGGTACTCACAAGATCTCAATAGGAGCACAAAAGACAGCAACATGGGATGATGCCGTCGACCGTCTTTACCTAAACTTTGATGGTGAAACTATCCTTCTCCCAGACAATGAAGGCGCAAGGTACTGTTTAATTATATTATGTCTCAATACGTCCTTTTACATGTTCACAAATTTGTTTTTTAATGAGCCAAACATGTACAATTTTTATTTTATTTGCACAAATATTCACTTTCATTTAAAAGCTTATGTTTTTAAAGAGAGTTAGCTGACTTTTTAGTTATTTTATTATATTATGTCTCGACAGGTGGGAGTCTGAAACTGGACCAATGACTTCCATTACTCGAACAAGTGACACCAATGAAATTATAATCGAAGTTGAAAACATTTTGAAGATTACAGCAAAGGTGGTGCCTATTACAGAGGAAGAATCGCGAATTCATAACTATGGGATAACACAAGACGATTGTTTTGCTCATCTTGAACTTGGATTCAAATTTTTGTCACTAAGTGATGAAGTGAGTGGTGTTTTGGGCCAAACTTATAGAAGAAATTATGTGAGCAGAGTGAAAATGGGTGTTTTGATGCCTGTAATGGGAGGTGACAAAGAATTTTCAGCTTCAGGACTATTTAATGCTGATTGCTCTGTTACTAAGTTTCAAGCAGTAAATAAGGGTTTGTTGAATAATTTGGAGCTGCCCAACTTGAAATGTAGCAGCGGAATGTCTGGACGTGGAGTTGTCTGCAAACGCTAGAATTTCTTGTTTAAACATTGATTGTGTTAGAAATTTAAAAAAATAAGGTTAATTAGAAACCATGGAATGTATCAAAAACTATGCTTAATCAAAAATTATATATGCATTAAACTTCAAATAAGATTATTGTTTTACTCTTTTATATTTCGAAAAATTTATGTAATTGAATTGAAAAATTTATAGTGGGGTGAGAGAGGCTCGAACTCTCGACCTCAGGATTACTCAGAAGCTATGAGACCTACGCGCTAGCCAACTGCGCCACCACCCCTTTGTGTATACGTTGTCCACTTGTACGAATATATTTATACCTCAAGTTTTCTAAGAAAAAAAATGATTTAGATTTCCAAATTGTGATTTCAAAATTTTTAAATGTCAAATTTGGCCCGTGAGTTTATATTTTTGTTAAAAAGTAAACAAACATTATTAAAAAATTTGCAAAAAAAGACTCATGCTCACGTAGAGATTGTTCGTACCATATAAAATGATTATAAAGAATAACTAGTTACCATTATTATTGACTAATGGATTTTTATAAAATTATGTGCATTCGAAAGTTTGTAAGTAATTGTAAATATTTATTTATAAAAGGAACATGGAGATATGTGATTGATCAATCGGATGCCTTAGAATATTCTGATATCTTGTTTATGAACTATAGTTTGCTCATTTGGTAAGATTGTATAAGAATTAGGGAAACTTAAGAATTCCAAATTACATGTTCAAACAAAATTTGAACTTTCAAATCAATCTTTTTATATCGCATATCCAAATGGGCATATATAATAATGAAATAAGCCTGATAAAACCAATCCATTTGAAGTAGAATTGAATTATGTAAATTAAAGCATATGTATAAAGGTACGTTTTAGCGACATTTGAACGAGGAAATAACTTTTCTAGTCTGCTTAGGGGATTTAATATGTGTAAGATTGATCCGTAAATTAATTGTTGACCAATCGATCGATTAAATATGACTTAGTGATTAATGAAGTATAAAGAGAAGTGTGAATTTTTTCTGCAGTGTAATTCTTTTTTTATTTTTTTAACCTTTCTTCCATCTTTTCGTTGTTACTTCCCTTTCGCATAGTTTTTCTTGGTCTACACAAAAATGTCAATTACTATATTGTTGCATGCATTTAAAAACAAAAAATTATCAAAATTCAGGATGTAATAGACGAATTGGAAGAAGAAATTAAACGTCTTCCCCCACTCTAATGGAAATGTAGTAATATTCCATAAATTCATCAACAGAGTATAACGACAAGAAATTAAAAAAAGGACATTTTATGAGTTTGACTTAGTAGAATAGTAGTCACTTAATGAAAATAATTAGCTTCAATGTACGTAACATGGAAGTGCCAACTTTAAGTTTGATAGACACAAACAATTCAGAGTACTACTTAATAGTGGTATCAGTTATTATGATATAATTATTACAGTCAAATCTCTTTATAATGATATCGTTTGTCTGAATATAATATTTTTACAGTAAATGACTCCCTTTATAATGATATCGTTTGTCTGAATATAACATTTCTACGGTAAAATTCTATTATAGAGAATATGGAATATAACACAATATGAAAGCACCAAAGAAAACTATATATATCGTTCATTAGAATGAAATATTGTCATAAATTAACTATTATAGAAAGATCTGACTGTATTACTATATATATTGCGTTTGTATATATATTTCCAATACATACGCGCCAACAGCGAATCAAGCCATGCATGCGAAACTTTGAAATATTCCCTTCGTTCACTTTTACTTGTCACTTTTGACATTTCAAGAAAAGATAATTTTTTAAAATTTTTTTTACCCTCAGCATTAAATGTTTATCTTCCAAATCATTTCCAAGATCTAATTAAGCATCATTTAATAGGGATAGTTTGATAAAATACCTATATTAATAATTGTTTTGTTAATGGATGTGCTAAGTCAAACAGTGACAAGTAAAAATGAACGGACAGAATATGTATGTGTAGGCCTTTACGTACTAATGAAATTACGCAAACTCCTAATTATTCCAGATTAATTGGGAAGAAAAGGGCCAACCCTCCCAACATTATATTACATGCACTTCATTAATTAATAGTACTATAAACTCTTCACAAGTTAAACATATTTCTTCATTTTATTCATGAATATTGTATATCGCTTTGTCTGATTGCATCGTAGGTTGCGTATACATATATACACTCCACTAGTTATGGATTAAAAGATATATTCATGAATATGATGTATTAAAATGTGAATAATAACTCATATTATTAATGTCATGATTTACGATGTATAAAAATAATGTAATATATACTTTATGATCAAGTGATGACATATACTATTATATTATGCTTATATGAATAATAGCGACAAATTAGTAGGGGAATTGATAGAGAATGTTGAAGTTGACTTAATAAAAGAAATTAAAGTATGAGCTAGATTACTTATCAAGAAACATACAATTATACTTTTTTAAACAAAAAAGAAACATTTGACATTATGACACGAAACAATTAGCCTTACTTTTCTCATTCTCAATTCCTATAAAAAGAGGTTAATTGTTCCTAAGCAAATCCCATAACTCAATACAATTTTATTCAACAACATATTTACTAAAAAAGGAAATTAAAATGGCTCAATTATTTTCCCACATTGTTGTGGTTTTATTAGTAATGATTGTAGCAATAGTAGAGGCCACTCCTCCTGGAATAGCTGACCATCCAAGCCATTCTCATTGCTCTGATGATGAGATCAAACAATGCAAAAATCTTCCACATGTTTGTCCCAAATTCTGTCCTAATGGATGTATAACTGAGTGTCGTTCCTGTAAACCTATTTGCATTGATGGCCCATCGCCTCCTCCCTATTACCCTCCTCCATCAACATCTCCCAAAAAAGTTAAGTGTAAGAGCAAAGACAAAAAATATCTCAAATGTTACGATCAACAACATATATGCCCTAGTAGTTGCCCCGGTACTTGTCAAGTTGATTGTGTCTCTTGCAAACCTGTTTGCAGTAAGTTTTTCTTCCACACACACATATATATACTTTCTATAATAATTCGATTTAACTTATATACACTGAAGCGTGTAATTTATATAAACGTCTACAGGCTGTGACAAGCCAGGAGCAGTTTGCCAAGATCCACGTTTTATTGGTGCTGATGGAATTACTTTCTATTTTCATGGCAACAAGGATAAAGATTTTTGCTTGGTCTCAGACTCTAACCTTCACATCAATGGCCACTTTATTGGAAAACGAAATGAAAACATGAAGAGAGACTTCACTTGGGTTCAAGCCATTGGTATCTTATATGGTACTCACAAGATCTCTATTGGAGCACAAAAGACATCAACATGGGATGATGCCATCGATCGTCTTTACCTAAACTTTGATGACGAATCTATTCTTCTCCCAAACAAAGAAGGCGAAAGGTAACATTTAATTATATTAGGGAAAATTACGCGGTTAAGCAAACTTATACTACTTAATTACTCATCATAGCTATAGTTTGCAATAATTACCACTCACGACTAACATTATACATTAATTACACGGGCTGACTTCGAGTTTGTATAATTAGTAACGTTTGTATAGTATATGTATAATTCGCCAGAATATACAAATACATATGTATAATCTACAATTATCTAGCCTATATACATATTACAATTCAACCTCTCTCCCACTCTCTCGCTTGCCTCTCTCCTCCCTCTCCCAAACTCGCTCGCTTCTCTCCTCCCTCTCCCAATCTCGCTTGCCATATATACAAATGCATATGTATAATATACAATTATCTAACCTATATACATATACAATTCACCTCTCTCCCACTCTCTCGCTCGCCTCTCTCCTCCCTCTCCCAATCTCGCTCGCCTCTCTCCTCTCTCTCACAGTCTCACTCGCCTCTCTCCTCCCTATAACATATAGCTGCAAATTGTAATTATCAAACTATAGCTATGGAGAGTAATTGAGCTATTTTTTAGTGGCTATATGTTAAAGTTCCCCATTATATTATGTCTCAATAATATTATATTATGTCTCGACAGATGGATGTCTGAATCTGAACCAACAACATACATCACTCGAACAAGCAACACGAACGAAATTGTAATCGAAGTTGAAAATATTTTCAAGATTACAGCAAAGGTGGTGCCAATTACAGAGAAGGAATCGCGAGTTCATAACTATGGCATAACACAAGACGATTGTTTTGCTCATCTTGAACTTGGATTCAAATTTTTCACGCTCAGTGATGAAGTGAGTGGTGTTTTGGGACAAACTTATAGAAGGAATTATGTGAGCAGAGTGAAAATGGGTGCTTCAATGCCTGTAATGGGAGGTGATAAAGAGTTTTCAGCTTCAGGACTATTTAATGCTGATTGCTCTGTTTCTAAGTTTCAAGCAGTAAATGAGGGTTCGTTGAATAATTTGGAGATGCCTAGCTTGAGATGCAATAGTGGAATTTATGGACGTGGAGTTGTCTGCAAGCGCTAGAATGTTTTGATTAAACACTAATTGTTGCTCGCGAATAAATTAAAAAAAATAAGGTTTAGAAACCAAAAGAATGTACCTTGTTTTAAATTTCTCCTCAAATAATATTAAGTTGTGTAATTTATTTATTTAAAAAGTATTATGGGGTGAGAGAGGCTCGAACTCTCGACCTCAGGATTACTCAGAAAGCTATGAGACCTACGCGCTAGCCAACTGCGCCACCACCCCATTTGTGTTTAGTATTCTCTTTGTTTTAATTTATCATATTATAGATTTTAAATAAATATTACATTTTGTTCTGTATTTTTCAAATATAAAAGGTAAATTCTGGGAAATATACTCATTCATATTTGAGTTTTTCGTAATGCAAGAACAGAGTAGATATTCTCAGTAAATCCAAATTGTTTGTAATTAATAATATGGGTCAAATTTAAGATTTCCATTTCGTTAATATAAAAATTCACAATCACTATGGTTTATATATGTTATTTACTACTAAATAAAACTGTTTTTCTTAGTAATATGATTACAGGTTTGCTTAAAATTGTTGAAATATTGAGTATTTTACTCTGAAATATCAAACTTTTCTATAGGACTGAATGCTCAGAAGACCAATCAGATCAGATGAAAAAAAGCCCAAGAAGGAGTAAGCCCGGAGTTATGGGCCGGACTACTCTGTTTAAGGCCCAATATTAGTTATGTTGATTTCAGGCTTTCGAGTACTTTACATAACTCACAAATATCTCACTTTATCACCGGATTGTGTGTGTGGAAGGGTAAAAGTTCCCTCGCCCTTAATCAGAAAGTCTTCAAATAGAGTTTTCTTTGCGAGAGGGCGCTAAATCCCCCTTACAATTAATGAACTTTTAACAAGAAGAAAACAATCCAAATTGGTCATGTTATATGATTGAAGAAAAAAAAAAGGTATTCAAAGCTAATCAATTTTATTAAGTAATTAACATAAATACGTAATCCAAGGAAGAAACTTGTTACACCACATTTCGAATTGTGGTCTCTTTACACCGGCTTGTAAAACCCTAGAATCGTTTTGTTGATGGAATAAGTATAATAATTTCGAAATATCTCATGAGATTATCTTATCTCGTTTTTAGTAATAAGTATTATTTAGCCTCACGATTATCATTCTACTATTTTAATATAACTGATGGGATAAGTGGGTGATAAGAAAATCTCATGGATATCTCAACCTGTCTTTTCCCACAAGTGCCACAACCAAAGTACCTAAAACCACAAAGTATAAAAAGAAAACACAGCGAGGCCTCCAAAAAAAAAATATGGTAGATTAATATTTCAGAAAAGAAACATTCAAATTAAAATGAAGGTACAAATATAACATTAATAGTTAGACAAGGACAGTGTCACGGGCAAGAAATTAAGAGATGTACCATATGGTAAATCGAAAATGGAATATTATGTAGGTAACAAATTAGAATTTATAGAAATTTTCACATTCCAACTTTTAAAATTATTGTTTTGAGTTTTTACCTTACTATGGAAAAATATTCTAGATTGACAGGGTCTTCGTCTTGTCATTATATTTATATCTTTATTCCTATCATCACTTGATCGCACTCTCTTTAACTTTACTTCACCACCTTTACATTTATTTATTTTTGGCTTTTCAAATGGAGTGTAATATTTTTGAAGAAAAATATATATAATATAAGCCCTCACAATTTCATGGTAATTTTTGGGGGATAAAATTGATGCTGTGTATTTTACATCATTTGGGTGATAAATGAAGCAAGAAATTGTTTACATGTAAGTTTATAGCGTCTTAAAGACCCAATTTGTTTGCATTAAGATTATAATATTTGAATATGAATGCATATTAATATAATTAACATCTGAAGGTGCATAATTTACTTATTTTAAAACATAATAAATAGACAATCCAAATAAAAAGATAATTAATTATTAAAAAATATATATATAATTTTTTACAACATAAAATTATTATTTGATAAAAAATAATGGAACATTTTATATTTTTTAGTGAGGATGGAGATGTGTGTAGTGATAGCAGTGGTGATGGTTATTGCTAGTGGCTAATAATGATAGTGGTGATCACAATTGTAACGGTGGAAAACTATATATATGGACTCTTATGAGTTCAAAACTACTAATTTTTTTTTGTGAAATCGAATATAAACTATGACTAAAAGTTATCAATAGCAAAATAATCAAACTCAAATCTTTCCCTTAATGAGTATACACGATAATTTGAATCACCAAAGTAGTGTTCTTGAAAGTAAGAATAGGTTAAGAAGTATTAGCTAAAAGTTGATTACAACCCCATCTTTAATAAAAAGAAATTAGTGCATGGTATCAAAATTTTGCTATTAATAAGAAGATGTTCACTTCTTAAAATACTCTATATATGCAGGCGGAACATATAAGGGCTGTCATAGAAGACATAACGGGCCGTGAAATAGACAATGTGAAATTATTAAATTTGCACCACTAGTCGATATTTGAGATTTAGAAGTGGTGACCATATATTATATATAGATAAGGGCAAATACTCAATACTCATCATATTGCCACTGTCATTGAGATACTCAGATCTCTGTCTGAAAAACAAGACATGCTTCCAATGTGGCCGCAAAAGTTTTCTCAGATGTTGGGTCCAATGAATTGACCACCCCACACCCCATAATTTTATTTTATTTTTCAATTCTCTATATTTTATATTGCAAAAATTCCAAAGAGAAAAATTTACAGACCAATGGCCTTTAGTTAGAAAAATCATAGGACCACGTTATCCAAGACAGTAGAAATTGCCATTATTATTTATGGTATTAATAATGTTACCTCGTCTACTTGTTCTTAAATCTAAAATGTACTACCTCAATATTGGAATTTGTGGGCACCCATTTATGTCTGCTTGTAATTCAATAATTACTATTGGAGGTTCTGTTGTTTGAAAGTATGTATTTAAGTGTCGACCAGTTTGTAAAAAAAAACAATATATGGCTACCTAAATTCTTGAAATTATTGATCAAGTGGTTCTTGATATTCACTCAATTGAGGGGAAGTCTTAGAAAAGAATTCAATTTATAGCTAAGTATGCGTACCTTTTAAAACTATTAAATGATTTTCTTAACGAGTATGTGTATCAAAATCTTAAAAGATATGAAGGAATAGCCAGCGTACAACGAGTGAATTTATGATAAATTATCACAATATAGAGTGCATGATACACGAAGCATTCTACATTTCACGCAGACCTACGAAGGCTTAGCATGCCCCGAATGGTGTACGTGTCATGTAGGATGTTCGTTCTGACGTAAGTATCATTAACTGATTCCACTTGGTAAATAGTTTAAATATTGAACAAACATGAGAATTCATATTATCCATCCAACTAAGGTTGAGGGTCGTAGTTACTTATGAGGTGTGTCAGTATCATCATCACCACTCGTCACCATGGAAGATGTGAAGAAGCTTGGTTAATATGTATGGAACATTATCTGTGTCAGTGGACCTATTGTAGAACAATTAAACCAAAATATATATGAAATTTTTTAAAAAGCTAAAAAGGACCCCATACATGCTATTTATTGAGATAGCTGAAAGAGTCCAACTTGCTTACATTATACATACACATCGCGTGAGTTAAATTATTATTTGTCACCATATATTAATATATATGATGTTCAAATATTTTTTGTCCTTCCAACTGCAGTACGTAATTTTCAATCTCTTTCTTCTGCTACTCTCACTTATTGCTTAGCACCTTCTATTCATCATAATTTGTCCCAAAAAGAATCCAAAGCAATATCTAGGTTTTTATAATGAAATCCAAAGCATATGACTATCTAGTAAATGTTTAATGAGATCGAGTAATTATAAAATGTAACGATACGTAAATGTGTACACTGGAAAACATGCTAACTAGCTAATCAAGTTTGATGATAAGGCCAAAACCTACGTACCAAAGAATAGCATGTGAATGTTGTAGAGTACAAATCAAAACATACATATACATGTGACATTTAATTTGATTTCACTTAGTTCTTCTCAATGTCGAACATATATAGCTCATCACACAAAATGTTGTATTATTATTGTTAAAATAAAAAGTCTCACATTAGTGGTTAATAAGATGGATGAACTCCTTATAAGGTTTGGGCAATCCTCCTCCCTTTGAGCTAGCTTTTGGGTGTGAGTTAGGCCTAAGACCTAATTTAACAGCTATATATCCAGTGCGCTTACCATAATTCAGCCACATAAAAATAGAATTTAATTTGTCACAATAAATGAAGGTAACACCGTTTGCGAAAAATCATACGTACGAATGTTTGTAGGCCATTGTTAATGTCAGCAGTTATTAATAGTGTCTCTAGAAAGAAGGCAAAGTTTGAAAAATCATTTGCTTACATCAACTTCTTGACAGGTTTGCTCTGTTACGTTTCTTCGTCTTCAATTCATTCACAAGATGAAACAAATACAAAAACTATGCCTAATAAATGTTGCCTTTTCTCCTCTTTCCTTTTTTATTCATGGATTTTACTATATTTTTTGGTAGCCAAGGTTTAAAACAATTTTTTTGCCCTTATAATTTGGTTGGAAAAAGAAAATGATAAGGCATACAATGTGGTAGTTCACTGGTTTTGAATAATTCATATTAAATAAACTCTGGCATAAGTCCTTTTTTTCAATCCGGTGTTCGGAGCACGCATTGGAGTCTAATTATATCCGGATTGTACTTTCCCTAAACACAGAGCTCGAACTTGAGACCTCTAATTAAGGAGGAAGAGATTCCATCACTACGCCACAATCCATGTTGATCCGGCATATGTACTTAATATTCGATTAGGTTGCACAAGAAAATAATCACTTCATTGTTCATTTGTTTGGCTGACGAAGGTTATATATGGAATAAAGATAAGAATATTAGCAATATAAAAATTAAACTACTTCAAGGGAAAATATATAATTTATGAATAACAATTATTATATAATTATGAATCTAGAATTTGAGCCAAGATTCTCCTACATAGTAATAGTAGTATCGGTGATGTGCCAAGAAAACAAATAAACAAAAGTAATATTTCCTCTGTACCAATTTATATGATATATTTCTATAGTAATCAAAATTATATTTAAAATATAA